CATCCATGCTTAGGCATATGTATAAATAAAATCATAAAAAGGGAGCACTCCTACTGCTTGCCATCTTGCTGCCACCTTGCACTTTCCCCATTCGTTACTGATTATCAAAACTATGACAAACTGTAGGTCTATGTTCTTGGCACCTGACCGACTACTTGAGAAGCTACAACACTTTCCAGGGAAAGAGACAGAGAAATAAGTAGCCCATCTATTTGCTAACAACAAAGTCTTCTGACAAAAAGAAATTCTGCTATTTGTAGAGACATGCAATGACTGGGTGAAAAACGAATTATTGAAAATTTATAGGGTGACCACACAACAAAATAAATCACCAAGTAACCTTTCTTTGATGCCACAGAAATCTGTCACACATGGCTAGCAAACAAGGAGTAACCATTAAGGGGCTTAATCTTAAAAATAGCAATTTCATGATTATCAGTATCAAATCATCAGTAAGACTCAGTAGGTGATATCATGCTCATAGAGGTGCCCCATTAAAAGTATGTTCTGTTCTTTTATCTGCAAACATACAATTCCTTCAGCACAAATAATTTCAAGTGAGAAGACAAGACACTGAGCATTCTGAGTATTATAGTTGAGTATTATTTTACAAGACTGAAATTACTTCAGACGAGGTAGACAACCTAGAGGAAAGCAAGGTTACCCACAGCAAATATGTCATTGACTATCATTTCCAGGACTTTATGGCATAATAAGCTTTTGGTATCATCCCATTTGGGATAAAAATAAAGCATGCATTCAAGTAACTGCTCATGTAATAAAGAAATATTTTGCAATATGGACTCATACCAACAGAGTTATTATTTCACACAAAATTGCCAGTATTTCCACAGAACTAAAATGTAAATTTCTCCCCAAAATATGTGTTCTGCTCCATTTAGTGATAAAAACTGAAAAAAGGACACATTAGGAGTAAAATTGAGGTGTGTCATACTATCACAGTTCTGTGAGCTTTCTGAAATTTAATACATGGCTTGTTTCCTTACTCTGGGTCAATGGCTTGATCTTATCTGGTGAGAGATAACTCCTGACTTACTGGAGATGACCTTTAAGGTCTCTTCCATCTCTAGCACTGTTAGATTCCACTTGGTTATGTAAATTTGAGTAATCTGTAAATTACTCCTGGGAATGTGTTAAACTTAGGTGATTAGGGCATCATTTTTGCATTAAAATGATGTCACAAAACTAAATAGTACGCAAGAAGCCTGGGGGAGTTTGTTATTTAACAGAAACTCACAGTATTTACAACATGCCCAACATTGTTCTAAGTGCTTTGTAAATATTAATTCATTTCTACAGTATTTTCAGTCTACTTGGAAACTAAGTTTCTGTGAAGCTTAATGAGTATGTGAATTGGCATTTACCTATTAATTAAAGTAAATAAACCCATTCACTGACTCTTTGAAATTAAAACTATTCATTTCTAACAATTAAGATTATCCCATGATAACACAAATCTGGTCAATTAACTCTCCCTATGAAAATCTGAGATTGCCTTTAGGACCAAGTCCAAACTCTTCAGCAAATCATGAAGGTGCCTCAGCATCTCTCTGCTTTCCTGTTCTGTCTCATCTGTCCCTTAAATCTGAACTATTTGCGGTTAACAAAAATGTGTCCTGCCCTGACCGGTTTGGCTCAGTGGATAGAGCGTCGGCCTGGGGACTGAAGGGTCCCAGGTTCGATTCTGGTCAAGGGCATGTACCTTGGTTGCGCGCACATTCCCAGTAGGGGATGTTCAGGAGGCAGTAGATCAATGTTTCTCTCTCATCGATGTTTCTTAACTCTCTATCCCTCTCCCTTCCTCCCTGTGAAAAATCAATAAAATATATATTTTTTTAAATGTGTCCTGACTCCATGTGCCTATGTACTTGCTGCCGCTTGGGTTTCATGCTCCTGACCCTTCCCTTTAATCTGGCCAATTCCTACTCTCAAAACAGAGCTCACACTGCACCTCCCCCCAAAAGTCCATCCTGACTCTTCCCTGGGTTAAATAATAGGTCTTCTCTGCTTCCAGTTTTCTGGGACCACCTCCAGAAAATCACACACAGAAGGGCAGAATGTAACTGCTATTCACTCATCCATTTTCCCACTTGTCTCTAAATCCCTTAAAGGTGAAAAATGTGCCTTTTCTCTTTAATATGTTTTTATTGATTTCTTTAGAGAGAGAGGAAGAAACATGGATGAGAGAAACATTGATATGCTGCCTCCTGCACGCCCCCTACTGGGGATGAAGCCCACAGGAGGAATCCTATGTGCCCTAACCAGGAATCGAACCAGTGACTTCTTGGTTCACGGGTCAATGCTCAACCACTGAACCACACTGGCTGGGCTCTTTTCTCTTTAAATTCCCAGGGCCTTGCACAGAAGTTGGTACACAGAAGAGGCTCAAGTAAATAAATGCCTTTAAATCAACAAATCAACAAATGAATATGTGTTTTGTGAGCTAACAGAAAATCATCCTAACTTTATTTCTAAAGTAGAAAGGAAGTTGCTAAAAATATCTAAGGGTAGCTAAGATGCCATAAATTATATCTATTTAATTACCAAAGAAATACCAAGGGCCACATACAATCACCTTATGTTTTCAGGTCAAATTACAGCTCTTAGGAAACTAGAAATGCCACAATGCAAGAAAACTCCTTAGTTCCCTAACTGCCGGAAAAGTTGTCATATGGCAAGTAGGTCTTCACACTCTGCCCAATTCAGTCCTCGTATCAGTGATTTCTAACTAGAGTTTAAGGAGCACGGCAAGCTGCATGGGCTCCCCAGGTGATCCAGACATCCAGCCAGACGTGCTGTGTATACTTTACTACGTGCCAGGCACTGAGATGACTTCCTGTGATAATTACTTTGATGACAAGACAGTATCTTCACTTTCATTGCTGACTTGAATTAGTAATCTATTCGTGCGTTTAACCTAAATCCTACCAATTCATTCAGCTCTCACCGAAGGCAGAGTCATTCTTTTCAGTTGTGAGGTTTATTGCTGTAGAAAGCAGAAACTGCAGGGGCCCAAGGTATCTTCTGCCCCAAGTGGAGAGGCCTAGGAACAAAAAAAATCCTGCAGAAGTCGAGCTCCATAAACGGGGAGCAAAAGAGGAGGACTGGCCTGTTTTCCCAAGTGCTGGTCTTTCACCAACACAGAGAAGGGTAGAGGTTCTGTGGACAGTACCAGCCTGCGGCAGCGACAGCACTTCCAGGTTCAGTCCTGCACTTCTCTTTATCTGCTTCTCTGCTTCCTTCTGTCTCCCTTGCTCTCTGAGAAAGGCTTTGTGATTTGTATTAAAGCACTGGCTCTATCAGCAAAAATTCACATTGTAGGAAACTCTACAGGATGAAAGACCCCAGGTCTTCAGGAAAAACAAACCAAAAAAGTAGAGGGGAAACTTCAAAACAAAACACACTAATTGCAGTCGAAAGACATTATTTGGGTTCTGGATCAAACAAACAAACATAAATATGTATGTATTATGTGCATATACAGTATATTTACTTAACATATTTATATACATTTTAACATATTTACATACTTAATATATGTCTATGTTAGATATTATATGGTTACATTTTTTAAAGAATCCTTATCTTTTAGAAATGCATAGTGAACTTTTAATAAATGAAATGATATCATATGCTTCAAAATAATACAAGAAGGGGAAGAAAATAGGTAGGATATAGGTAAAAGAAGATTGATAATTGAATTAATTGGTAATTAAGTTGCTAATTGTCAAAGCGGGGTTCATTACAATATTCTACTTTTGTGTGTGTTTAAAATTTATTCCTCCACAACAATAATTCTAACTTATTGAAAAATAAGACAGTGCTCTCTGCTTCTTCAGTTTTACTATGGAAACAAGTTAAAATGAAAAAGAAAAATGGGCATTTAACAAATATTAATTCAAATCATGGAATCTTTCATTAAAGGCTTGGCATATTAGATTTTTTACTACAATAACCTAACTTTGATAACTTATTGTAGTCCTTTAAATTAATTCCTGTTATATTAAAATTTTAACATTTGGCTACAAATACCAATTTAAATGGTATTTTTCTATTTTTACATATTTTACACATACAAATTGTAAGTTTGCTTCAGTTAAGTTTACAAAATTTCAACTACATGAACAAGTTCTGTCTTAATATGCACTTACAGGTAGGTGAACTGGTTGCCAGAATGATGTATATGAATTCAAAAAATGTTTACAGAGCCCCAGATATTTACTGAAATTCACCAGAAAGTGCAAAATAATTTTCAGGCATACCTGTGGATGTGTAATATTAATCCAAATGCAGGTAACTGGTAAATTTCGATTTTTTAAAATCATAATTTACAAGTGCTCAATAAATACCATGGCCCTAATTACACCAAGAAGGCTTCTACCAACGAAGAAAGCGGGGAGGGGGACGCCTTTTCTAGAAAGTGGAGGTGATTGGACACAAATCTGGGGTCCACATATTGAGCGAGAGGAGAACCCTTCCGTTTAGGTTAGTTTTATGGTTTGAGTTTAGTTAGGGATGTCTAGGTTTGTTTCTCCAATTATCTACAGCACCAGTTGTGGTTTAAATCATTTATAAGTCTTCTCTTAGCATTAAAACAACCACCACAATAATAATGATGCAAATCCTGCCCAAATATCATATCCCTTCTTGCCCATGCATGGCCTTTTGCTTTTCCTTGAGAAGAGAGAAGGTCTCCGCCCTTTCGCTCAGTAGCCGCACTGCTGGAGGCAAACTGCACAAACTCCTCTTACCCACAGGTCGGGGGCGGGGGGGGGGGAGGGGGGTTGTCCCCCCTTTCCGATTTTTATTTTTATTTTCATTTTTTTAAGCAGGGAGCGTCCTACTGGACTAGTAGGATTTCTACTTAGGCGCTCATTTCACCTAAGACACCGCATCTCCAGGGCAACCGAGAGCAAACGCGGAGTCGCGGGTGGGCTGGGCAGCGCAGAGGACCACCCTCCCGGGACCGCGCCTCTCACCTGAGCGCCGCGGGGGTCGCCCCGCACCCGCGTGGTAAGCGTGTCGTGCCCTGTTTCGTCTTCGTCGCCAGAGCGATAGAGGAGCCGGAGTGGCACGATGCTCTGGCGCTCCAGGAAGCCGTTTTCGTTCCTCCTCTCCAGCTCAGTCAACGAGGCGTCTCCTCCAGGCAGGAAGGGGAGAAGGAGGGAATAGGAAGAAAATGCGAAAATAATGACCCTGACTCACAATCGTCGGTCCTGCGGCCCGACCCCTCCCCTCTGAACATTCCACCTCCCCGTCCCTCCCGGACCCCAGCTGGGAAGGACGCAGGCACCAATCGGAGAGCCTGGGACCCGCTCCTCTGAGCGCATCCAGGATAGGGGCCCAGAAGCAGAGCACCCCTTCCCCATCCGCCGCATGCCTCTTCTTCAAAAGAAAAACAGACATCTGACCAAAGGCTTCTAATGCATCCGCGCGCCCCCACACGTATTTTTGCTCCACTTTTCCAAATAAAAAAAATCTCCCCGCGCACTCGGGAAATGGGGATGCCCCTTTGCAATGCGCCGGAGGGCTGTAGAGATGCCCGGCAAATGGTAGGTCCCTAAGCCACAGAGGGTGGCGAACTTACCTGCCCGGCCGCCGCGCACCAAGGGGCAGGTCCCCAGGGCGCAGAGCAGCAAGATGGGCACGGACGCCGCCGCCGCCTGCATGGTGCTGCCGTCAGCCACCTCGCTGGAGACGCTCAGCTCTTCATGCCGGGTCAGCTGGTCCGACTCCCTGGCCCAGCGCCCCCCGGCTCGCCCGGGCCGCCCCCTCCCCGCCCCGGCCGGTGCTGCGGCGGCCGTGGCGCTGCAGCCTCCACCGCTGCGCTGCCTCAGTGCTGCATTGTGCTTCGCAGGAGCTTCCGCTGGCGGGGGGAGCCTGCGAGTGCTGCATTGGGCGGTTGGCTGTAGCTAAGTGGTTTCTAGCGCCTCCCACCCCATCGCCTGGCAAAGGCTCTGGCAGGCGATGAGCGCTCTGCAGGGAGCGAGCGCCCGGTGCACTCGCCCCGCAGCGCGCGGGCAGGGACGCGCGCATGTCACTGGGAAATGTAGTTCTCTCCCGCGTCCCGCTCATCGCCACCACGGAGCGGATGGTTGCGACCTCGTGACCGTGAGGTCTTCTACAGCATGAAGGCAGGAGGCAGGAAAAGGGCAACAGAAAGAGAGGTCATGTTGGCAGGCCTCTTGGCACCGAGGATATGCAACCGCGCTGCCGCCGGAGCAGTATTCATCCACATCGTCCACAAAGAACCATATTAATGTTTCCCACAATTTTAATAGTTATCAGGAATTATACCTTCAATAATTCATGGTAAGTTACTTACCCAATAAGTATTGATTAAGGACCTACTACAGTATATGCCCGGCAGTTGACTAAGCTCAGGGAACACAACTGTGAACAACACTGGTATAGGAGACACCTGTTCTCAGACGCAGTCGAGTAAACACTGTCTTATACGTAACAGGTGAAAAGTATCCAGATGATGCTGGAGGCGAGTCATTAACTTAGTCAAGGGGAGGCAGGGAGAACCTCCTGAAGAAGGTCTACACAGGCACTTGAAGGATATGCTGGATTTAGCCAACTCTGGAGGATGTTTTTGTCCTTTCTCTAATATCTGTCTGCCTCAAACCTGTATCTGAAAGCCAGACTTGGAATACTCCACTTTTTCGTCTGCTTATTCCATTTTTTAAAAAATTTCAAATGTTAACTCTTGAAGATAAGACAGTAATAACATAATTGTCCACACAATTACCACTCCTGCCTCGGGTGACATGGTTTCAGGTTCCTTTGCCATCATGATGATTTGAAAATACACTCCAGTGTGTCAATGTCCCAGCTAAAGTGTGGTATCCAGAATTAAGTACAACTTAGGCATGGTTTCACAAGCAAACAGTAGAGAGGGACTCCTTTCCCTTGACCTAAATTCTTGCCTATGAGAACATTCTATCATATTTTGGTAGCCACATCTCACTTATTGTCATTTCAAAGACATTTCCCCAAATCTCCAAATAATGAGACACTTAAGAATCCTATATATGACATGTAATTGTAGCCTGAATAAGGAGCTACAAGTTTTCAACAGTACACTTTATACCTTGGATGCAGAAGATTCCAAAATAGTCATTGTAAAACAGAATTAGAACTAAGGCCTGGAATAGCCCTTTACCTTCATCCCCTACATCATGGACCCAAGCTGTGAGCTTGTCATATATGGTCTTTATTATAGTGAGGCACATTATATTGAGGTCCATTAGTCTCTTTTGAATCTCTTTGAAGTAGTGCTCTTCTGGCCGTTGTCTTGCCAGGTACACGTAGTTTTAATTGGCAAGGTTGAAGAGGCAGCCAAAGAAATCCTGATTCTCAGTGAGTTGTGGAATTGGTTAAGAGAACATAGTTCCTTTAGGAGCAAAATAGATAAGACAACCAACAAGGGAATTACTGAATATGTGCCATTAAAATAGATCATCCTCTGGAGGCTGAGAGCAGTTGCTCCAATAAGAAGTCATGATCTCTTGTTTGGTTTTCAGACATTAGTCAGGTTTGCAACCCAGAAATCACCGACTAAAGAAAAGGCCATGTCCCAGGAGGACCCTGCAATACATGTCAAGTACACGTGGTAATGATTCCCCCAATCCTTCCACAAAGGGACTTACCTCATTTACTTCAGTAATTGTGCGCCAGGGAAAGGGAAATACCCAAATATTTGTTGGATGCAGTGTCTGAATTGACAGTGGTACCTGGGACCCAAAGCACCCATTATAGTGGGGGCATCTGGGAGCTAGGTGATAAATAAAGTCCTGACCAAGGTTTCGCTCACAGCCTCTGAATGTATTATTAGAAAAGAAATGCTTAGTACTTCATAAAATCCCCCACATTATTTCCCTGGCCTACAGGGTAAGAATTATAGTGCGGGGGGGGGGGGGGGGCGCGGAGGAAGGAAGGAAAGAAAAAGACACCAAGTAGGAACCTCTAAAACTGCTCCTCCCTTAGCCAAACAATAAATAAATCAAAAACAATACCTTAACCTGGGGTCATGGTGGTGGTAGTGGTAGTGTTTTGTGGTGGTGATGGAGGAATTACTATCCCTGTTAAATATCCAGAAGATGGTTAATTCCCATCATAATCGCATATGGGTCATAAAGAATGACAGTAGACAACCACAAACTGCACTAAGTAGCAGCCTCAATTGCAGTTGCAATGCCAGATGCGGTCTTTTCTATTAAAAATGAACATGGGGGGTGGGGGACACACACATATCCTCGGGTGAGGATTTTTTAAAAAGTTAGAAATGAACATGGCCTCGGGTACATGGTATACAGCCATTTATTTGGCAGACGCATAATTTTTCATCCCTGTCAGGAAAAAAAAAAGGATGAGAAACCATTTGCGTTCATTGGGAAAAGATTATCGTATACATTCTTTCTTTTCCTTTGTTATAAGTTGAAGAGGATGCCATGGAGAATATCACTTTCATCCATTATACTGATGATATCATATTCATTAGACCATTTGAGAAGGAAGTTCCTAGCACATTGGAAACTTTGATAAGACATGTTCTCTAAAGTGTGAAAGATACACCCTAAGATTCAGGTCCTGGCCAGTGTGGGTCAGTTGGTTGGGCATCATCTGTGCAATGAAAGGTTGCTGGTTCGATTCCCACTCAGGGCACATGCCAGGATTTTGGGCTCGATCTTCAGTAGGGGGCGTGCAGGAGGCAGCTCACCTTGATGTTTCTCTCTTCCTCTCTCTCTAAAAATCAATTTTAAAAAATCTTAAAAAAAAAAGACTCAGGGCCCTGCCCCATCAGTATCAGTTTGAGTCAGTGGTCAGGAGCATGCCAGGAAATCCCACCAAAAGACAAATTATTGCATCCTGAGCTTCCCAAATATGAAGAAAGCATAATTCCTGATAGGCCTTTTCAGATTGTAGCAGCAGTATGTTTCAACTGGGGATACTGCTTTGCTAAATGCTGCCAGCTGTGAGCAGAAAAAGCTCTGCAGCCTCACCAGGCAGGTTCAAAGGTTCTAGAGGTATCAGAGGTAGGAAAACTGGAACTTATGGCAAACCCCAATGGGGAAATCACAGCTGAGGCTTTGGGGTTTTAGAGTAAAGCCATGACATCTTTAGTGGCGAATTATGTACTTAAAAAAACTATATATATGGTTTGTATTTTTGATGATGTATGGCAGATGGAGCACCTGACTATGGAGCAAAAACCATCATATGGTCACAACTGCCAATCATGAGCTGGGGTTTGGTCAGATCTTCTAATTCATAACATTGGGCAGGTGCAACAAGAAGCCATTGTAAGATAGGATTGGTTTATCCAAGATTAGGCAAGAGCAGGACCAGAAGGTTCAAGGGAATTGCATGAGCACACAGCCCAGACCCCCATGTCATCCATCGCTGTTGTGTCACCAGACCTGTTCAGAGCGGGGACCTGGCCCTGTCCCAACACAATCCAGGACCTTTCTCGTATCAGACGACCTCCAGGCTCTTGACTCATACAGGAAAGATTTCAAGAATGATTTGGAGTGAGAACAAAAGCAAGTTTTATTCAAGTAGAGACAAAGCATGGGCTCCTGTTCACCAAAGCCTATCTAGTGTTTCTGCCATTGCCTGTGTGAAAGAGGCAGAAGTACGCGTCTGAGTGGATGTGGGCCAACTTGCAAGTGAGTTGTGCACATGGTCAGTCAGTTCCTGGGATTTTATGTGTTCCAGGTTTTTGAAACCTGTGGCACCAAATTTTGTCTCCACCTTCAGGTTGGGAGTTCCTAATATGGTCCATTCAGGAAGTGTCATGGTGTTCACCACCCGCTTGGCCCCCACTTCTACTTGCGATGTCAGTTTTCATTATAATGATGGTACAGTGAGCTTTGGGGTCAGGTCTTTGGTATTTCCTCCATTTGGGGATGATCTGGTTCTAACCAGTCATTGTTGTTGACCTCTGTGACCAAGTCAGGGGTTTTCCTGCCATAAGGTGGAGGCTCTGGTGAGAGGACCTAGAATCTGCCTGTAGATCCTGCTTCCTCATTTCACTTGGGATTTTCCCCTAGGTCCTCGCTCTTAGATCATACCTCTAGGCATATGGGCCATCCCTTAAGACCAGATGAAGAGTAAAAACCCAGACTTAGTTCATGAATTAGTTGCTTCCGTGGGTGCAAGCTGAAAATAGATGGCAACTGCCTTATAGCTGCACTCAGGGGTGGGTGGCTTTGGTAACCAGTCACAAGGGGAAATCTTCCCAATGGGCAGAGCTTCAAGTGGTCTACCTAGTCATCCCCTTTGTGAGCAAAGAGAAGTGGCCTAGATGTAGAGTATTTGTGGACTCAGGGGCAGGGAGAAATTACTTGACTGGCTATTAAGGCATTTGGGAAGAGAATGATTGAAAGGTTGAATACAAGGCGTAGAGGGTTGAATATAAGGGGTAGAGGCACGTGGCATATGGGAATGGTCATGAAATGTATCTTCATATCACACATTATCACCACCCAAAAGTTGCCACAATGGGCACATGAGCAAAAGGAAGATATTGGCAGGGATGAAAGTTATGTATGGGCTCAATAGCATGGGCTCCTATTGACTAAAGCTGATCTAGTGTCTCTGCCATTGCCAATTGTCCAACCTGTCAGAAACGGAGACCAACACTGAGTTCTTGATATGACACAATTCCGTGAGACCACCAACCAGGCAA